TTTTCTTCTTTCATTTTTTCCACAATTATTGGTTGTTTGGAAAGTAATTTCGTTTTCTTTCAGTGGAAAAACACAATATTTTTATAATAAATAAATATTTTATTGAATTATATATCAACCATTTTTGGTCAAATACCTGTTTCCATCATTTCTGGTAGTAGCATGATTCCACATTCATAAAAGTTTTGATCTTTGCTTACAAAAAACTGATTCAAGTGATTTTTGACATTTTCATTTCAAGTAAATGTCTTACAGTTTAAAAAATTTTGTATAGACCAGAACAAGTAATAATCTGAAGGTACCTGATCTGGCGAATATGGTTGGTGTGATAGCACGTCCCATCTAAGCTGTAACAGTTTCTGACAAGTTACCAAACTTGTGTGAAATTTGGCATTATCATGGTAAAACACTACACCTTTTTTGTTGATGATATTACTCAATTTGTTTACTCAATGGCAGTATACTTTTGGATCAATTGTTAAATTGTCTGGTAAAAGCTCAAAAAAAAGAAAATTTTCTTAAAATCCCACCAAAGAGAGAAATTCTCTTTAAGAACATGTGGNAGTCCACATGGCCATAAACTGGGCCGAAGAAAATCACAACCAACAGAGCATCTCAATCTACACAGACTGCCAGTCTGCTATTGACCTCATCAACAGTAACAAGCCTCATCCTATTGCCATCGCAATTAAGAAATCTACTCTTAACTCGAACAACCACTACTTTATTAGCTGGACCCGCAGACACCAAGGAACCATCGGAAATGAACGTGCAGACCAACTAGCTAAGACTGCCGTCAACGATAACTCCCTCCAGCCTATTTATTGCAAGCTGAGTCTTCCTAAAATCAAAAACATCCTCTACAATGAACTACTACTACGATGGCAGAATTCCTGGTGCCACAACCATAGCAACTCCACCTTCAACTTTATTCCTGACATCCTCAAGCACCATAACTGTAACAAGCATTGGTACCCCATTGATCCAGACATCACCCGATTCATCAGTGGCCATGACAAGTTCTCCAGCTTCCTGCATAGGTTTGCTAATAAACACATCCCTGTCTGCGCCATCTGCGGGGAGGTTGATGGCCCAGACCACTACTTATACAGATGTGTTGGCCTTGAACAAGAAAGGCTCGCTATTGAGCTTGCTGCCAAGAATTTGAACATACCATGGCCCTGTTAGTAGCATGAGCTTATCAACAACAAAGAACTGTTTTTGCTTCTACAAAACCTTGTGCACAGACATGCCCTGATCGCCACTACTACCACAAGGGACTAACCACGTTTTCCTACCCTACCATTTGTTGTTGTGATGTTCTTCCTTTTTGTTTATAATAATCTGCTGTATTTAATTACTACACAACCTATCCTTTTTAACGTGTAACACGTGCAATATATTGTATATATCCTGTATTTTCTTTAATGTAAATGTTACATCAATCTGTTTCACATATTGTATTATAAATATTGTATCTGTATATACTCACCGATTTACCCTTCCTATTGTAACTATGCACTGTATTACTTTTAATATTTTAATATTTGTTCAATTATTATAACCATTTATGTACACAACTTACCAATTTAATGTTATTGTATTTCTCTGTATCGAATCCCGGCAATGCTATGTGGTACTGGGAATGTACTATTTATAGTATCTAATAAACGATATTGATTGTATATAAATAATTTATGGTGACGATGATGATGACATTTGAATATTATATTTTAAAGTTTTAATGACTCATAGAAATAATATAATTTCAGTTAGGTTTTTCTTAATGTCTGATAATTATTATTTTCTAAATAAAATCTATAGCTCAATAAATGCTAATTTAAAAAAAGAATTAATATTTGTAAGTATAGTAAACTCCTGCCACATGTCTAATATAAATTTTCTGTTATAATTTATGAAATGCTATATTTAAGTTTCATATCTTTTATTGGCTACTTTTTATGATATTATATAAAGTTTTATTTCTGAGCATAGATTCTTAATTTATGATACTAAATCTACAGGAAATGAGAGTTCTACTTGTTCCAAAACTTACTTAATAGTAATTTTTCCACTATATAATCAGGAAATCAGGAAGTTACTATATAAATAATTTTAATATGATTTTATTGAAGATTTTTGTACTTTTTATTATAATTGGGCTGTTATTTGAAAAAACTGTAGAGCTATAAATTTTCACTGTTGTCTGGATATCTGTCCTTCCTTAACTTGAGAATGTTGTTAGATAGATGAAAGTCAAGACCAGATGTGCAAAGCTTGGGGGCTGTAAGCCCCGATTAACAATATATGTGTGATGAGTAGCCAAGGATATAGGGCTGATCCTATACCTCTTACGGGCACAGATTAACCGAAATCTGTTCTCTAAGTTTTGGATCGAGAGATCCGATCCTATGTCAAGATTTGTTTGACCGGGAGGGCTGTAATATTTAGGCTTAAGGAGGATTGAAGACTGTAAAGTCTCTATCCCAACGTCAGGTTTCCGACACCAGTTTGTCAATTAATCGATCTGCAGACAAACACGCGTGTGATTATTTTATAGATTTGATTCAGAGACTCTAGAGGAGACATTCTTTAACAAATAAACAAGAATAAATTTAATTAAACATAAACCAATAAAAATAGTACAATTATATGACAATGAGAGACAATAAATACAAATTACAACCTATCAGTCGAGAGATATATGGACTTATATTTAACTGATAGACGATCGAGAGAGAGATTACAATATCGATAGTAACCATACAACCTGTTTTAGTTGTTGTTCGTTTTCTTCTTATAGGCAGGGGACACTTTAGAGATAAAGTTCATTTACTTCATTCCATGGAAGGTCGAAATATGCACAAAATTAAAGTATATCTTCTAAGTGCTAACTCAGAATTTATTCTATGTGACTCGACTAAGGGCGTTGGCCATCAGGAGGAAAACATGTGGAGTCCTGTCTCTCCTAAGTCTGTCGATGAACTCCCCGAATTCTGATAAATTTCCTCTATATCTGACGATCGGCGACCAATCATCATACAAAGATCCTTCCGTGGGAACAGACGGAAAGGGGAATATGTGAGGGGTAAACATTTCCCATCAAAGCGAAATTTTTCGCAGATAAGGGAAAAACAGAGGATGTTCTAACTTCCCTAGAAGGAAGTAGCATCTGTTATCTATTTTTCCCACTCTAAAACGTTATTTTTCTCACCCAAAATGAAAGATTATTTTCTAACAATATTTAACATTATTAAATAATTATTAATTTTAGACCTGGGGCTATTCAGATCTCACATATGAACTACTTTGAACTGGAAGTTACGTTATTTCAATTCAAAAATTTTCTCCTGAATAGAGAAAATTTTTGAATACATGACTGGCATGACTTAATTGTATAGGGACAAGATACTACTAAACTTAAGTGCATTGTGACAGTCACAATAAATAATTGCTCATTTATTTGTATAAAATAAGTATTTATATCCTTAACTTCTAAGTTAGAAATAGTTGTGGTTATGAACAGTATAAGAATTTTTTTATGTTATGAAGTAAGAACTGTGGATAATTTATTACTTTATAATAATGCAAATGTACTTAAATACTGAAGATAACTTATGGAAAAAATTAAGTGAAAATTAGGTTTGTCTCATACAGGGTGTTTGGAAAGTCACTATGCACTTACATATTTATTAACATGTTTCAAGGAGGTAAATACGAATAATAATTATAAACAATGTTGAAAATGACCCTTATTAGCATCAATACATTCTTGGATCCTTATTTTGTTTCTAAACACCACTATCAGTTGCTCGCTTGAATGAATGAATGAATGCTGTTATTGCTGTTTTCAAGTCATCCAGCAGGTGTGGATGATCTCTATACACTGCAGATTTTGCTGCTCCCCATAGATAAATGTCTGGTGGATTATGATTAGATATGTATTAAATGAATGTATTATAAAAAAATGATTAGAAAACTGTCAAGTGACTTTCCAAATGTTACCTTGTATAATCACAAGTTTAGATTTGTCTCCTAGTTTATTTTTCAATAGTTAGGATAGTTTNTCTCACATATGAACTACTTTGAACTGGAAGTTACGTTATTTCAATTCAAAAATTTTCTCCTGAATAGAGAAAATTTTTGAATACATGACTGGCATGACTTAATTGTATAGGGACAAGATACTACTAAACTTAAGTGCATTGTGACAGTCACAATAAATAATTGCTCATTTATTTGTATAAAATAAGTATTTATATCCTTAACTTCTAAGTTAGAAATAGTTGTGGTTATGAACAGTATAAGAATTTTTTTATGTTATGAAGTAAGAACTGTGGATAATTTATTACTTTATAATAATGCAAATGTACTTAAATACTGAAGATAACTTATGGAAAAAATTAAGTGAAAATTAGGTTTGTCTCATACAGGGTGTTTGGAAAGTCACTATGCACTTACATATTTATTAACATGTTTCAAGGAGGTAAATACGAATAATAATTATAAACAATGTTGAAAATGACCCTTATTAGCATCAATACATTCTTGGATCCTTATTTTGTTTCTAAACACCACTATCAGTTGCTCGCTTGAATGAATGAATGAATGCTGTTATTGCTGTTTTCAAGTCATCCAGCAGGTGTGGATGATCTCTATACACTGCAGATTTTGCTGCTCCCCATAGATAAATGTCTGGTGGATTATGATTAGATATGTATTAAATGAATGTATTATAAAAAAATGATTAGAAAACTGTCAAGTGACTTTCCAAATGTTACCTTGTATAATCACAAGTTTAGATTTGTCTCCTAGTTTATTTTTCAATAGTTAGGATAGTTTTTTTTTATATTAAATTTATATACTGAGATATTTTTATTTTGTGAAAATTTTTTTGAATAATGACAACTCAAATTATGAAAGACATTGAAAAAATTGATTTATAAACAAGAATAGAGCAATTGTTTTCTAAAAAGTTTAAAATCTTGTTTTTGTTGCAGGAATTATTGAAGATATTTTATACAGATCCTGACTTTACATTTCTCTGTGATTCTGACATAAATCCATGTAAATATTTTAAATGAATTATTTTGATTTTTTTAAAATATCAACACATAATTTTTACCCTTATTAAAATAGTCAATAAATTTCTATTTGGTTATTTATTTACTGATAATCAGTTCATAGAAAATACAAGATATAAAAATACAATCCAATTACAGCTGGTAGTAATGATAAAGTGGACACAGTTTATGATGGAAGAAATGGTGTTCGCTGTCTCAGGATCAGTCCAGATGGAAATCATCTTGCTTCGGGTGATAGATCTGGAAATATCAGGTAAAAACAATACTTTAAAAAAATTAATATATATATAATTGTTTGATATAATATAACAAGACTTATTTACACAAAACATATGTTAAATCATTCATTATAGCACTGTTTTTCAACCTTCTTGAATACGTGACCCTTTTACAAGTTAAAAAATTTTGGCGACCCGCAGGGCCATATTAAAATTATGCCAGTGATTTTAAAAACTACGTATTTAATTTACTTTCTGTTGAGACCTAAATATCGATTGAAAAACCAATTGTACTTTAAAATAAACAGGCATAGCCTTCTCAATGAAATTGTAGTTTTTCTTATTGTAATGTAGAACCTACGAACACTTGTCTTTTTTTTACCCGCGACCCCCTGTGTAAGGCTTTGCGACCCCCTTGGGGGTCGCGATCCACAGGTTGAAAAACACTGCATTATAGGATAATGTTGAAATCTGGAAAATTGTTATTTTCATCTGCATACAATATCCAAGAGACAATATAATTATTTTCTATACAGAGAGAAATGTAATGCTTTTACTTTAATATTACCATACATATTTATCTTTCATCTATGTGATTTGTCATAAAACATATAAATAACAATGTAAAAAATATCTATGATCATAAACAACACATTTTTTTGTTACAGTAAATAATAACCTAAACTATATAATTTTGTAGGCAAGTAGTAGACAAGTGCAAATAGAGATTTTCTTTATCTTAACTTTCTCCTATGATATATAGCAAAATAGATCACAAACAAATTAATAAATTCAAAATGCTAAAATATATAAATTATATTAAAGGAAATCAACATCTAAAATATTAAATTGATATTATTTTCATTGTTTAAAGAACTAAAATATTTTGGAGTTGCAGTTGTTACACACATTTCTGCATTTCTGATCACTGTAGAAAGAAAGCATTAATATTTCTAAAAATTTTATATTAAATTGTTAAAATACCTTTCTTGTTATATCCCCTTAAGAACCATGGGCATCCTATTAAAAAACCATAAAATTATTTGTTCATTTACAAAATATTTAGAAATATATAAAGATATGAACAACATATTCTTTGTGTAGAAAGATAGTAATCTGATACAAGATTTTGTGAACAATATTCACAGCAATCCAACAGGCATTAAACTTATTAGTCAGATTGTTAGCTACAATGTTAACTTGGATCACACAATCTTTGTAATGATTCTTAAAACATATTGAAAAAGCTGACACTTACATAAATTAGCATTCCTATGTCATAGTGTCACATAAGTTAACAGTTTTCCAGGTGCTAATAGATATGCTCTTTATCAGTATATAGAAACCAAGAGTTTAATATACAGTTGAGTCCTCATATGTCCACACCCCAAGGGGAAGTGGAAATGTGTCGAGTTATCCGATGTGACGACTAAAACAAAGTTGAAAAAACCACCAAACTAAAATTAGGAAAACACAGTAGCGCTTTATACAGTACATGCAATGTACAGTACCTCTCTGACCATCCTTCATAGCACTAAAGTTGGTTTCTGCTCCAAGTACCTCAGTGATTTCCATCACGTTTTGTTTCAGTATCATCCCCGAAACAGGAAGATTTGATGAATGAATTTGTTTTAGCCAACATACCAGAGCATCTTCGACATCTTTGTACAGCAACTTTCCCTGGCATTTTTGAGATAGCCGCGACGAAGATCCAAGAAAAAGTTTCTTAATTTCTTCTTTTTTCTTCAGAATTCCCATCAATGTTGTTCTTGGAAGGTTTTCTTGTTTTGCAAATTTGGCTTTCAAAGTTTTATTACATTGAAATTCAGATACAAGTTTGTATTTTTCCTTCAGCGTAAGCGTTGTTAGGTTTCGGATATTCATTTCTAACAGAAATGTGAAACACTTGCTGCAAATAATGCATGAATGAAAGGTGAGAAAATGTAAAATTGGATTCTGCTGTGATGTTAATCTGTGTGGTGTGAACTCATTTTTTTCAGGAGGAAAGTTGACTTATCAGACACCTAAACGAGTGTGGGACAGAAAAAGTATCTACTTATACCTATTATGACTTATGTAAATTCAACTGTAATTATACATATAGCAATATCACATGGTTTTCATTTTTAAGTTATAAAAGGATTAATAAAATCACATCTAGATAGATCTGAGAATATTTGTAAGATTTTGTGAGTTATTTGTTGGCAATATTTTTTTTTCAGTGACTGGTGAATATTTATCTACACTTCAGATTATATGTCAATTGTTTATCAATTGCTATGCAGATTGTAAGATTAGATAAAGATAAAAAAGAGAAGTTAGATAAAGTGAATTGTGTACATGTCAGACACAAAACAAGAACAATTTTATGTTGATTTTACATTTAGATCATTAACTAAGATAATGAAAAAACATTTGGGATCATTGGCAAAGATAATGTACCAGTGGCGTGCCGTCATTAGAAGCGTTGGAAGTGCCGCTTCCCTCATATTCTCTAAAAAATAAATAAATATTACTTTTAATTATATGAAAATAATCGCACAATATTTTATTATAACCGCATTACGTATCTTATTACAAATTTCTATACTACACGTGGAAAAAAAAAATTGCTATTGTATATTAGAATATTAGTGGCGGAGTAGAATCTCCTGTATTTTCAGATTACGAAAAGCCAGATTTGCGCATGCGCTTTACAGAGCACCAACCTCACCC